GTGAAGGGATGGAGAAAGATATTCCATGCAAATGGAAATGGAAAATAAAGCTATTGTAGCTAGCAGACAAAACAGACTTCAAGAGGAAGTCTGTACTAAAAGACAAAGAAGGTCACTACAGAATGACTAAGGGGTCAATCCAGGAAGAAAATATAACATTTGTAAGTATATATACACCCAACATACGTATATCAAAATACATAAAGCAGATAATAATGGATCTGAAGGGAGAAACTGACAGCAATACAGTGATAGTAGGGGACTTTAACACCACAGTTACATCCCCAGGTGGGTCATCTGGACAGGAAATCAGTAAGGAAACACTGGCCCTAAATGACGAATTTGACCAAATGGTGATTGATAGATACAGAACATCCCATCCAAACGCAGAATACACATTCTCCTCAAGTGCACATAGAACATTCTCTGGGATATATCACATGTAAGTACACAAAACAAGTCTCAATAAATTCAAGAAGATTGAAATCATATCAAGCATCTTTTTAGAACACAATGGTGTGAAACTGGAAATCAATGACAAGATGAAAACTATAAAAAACACAAAAAAATGTGGGGAATAAATAACCTGTTACTGAACAACCAATGTATCATCGAGGAACTCAAAGGAGAAATAAAAAAATAACTAAGACAAATAAAAACAGAAATATGATGTACCAAAATCTATAGGATGTACCAAAAATAGTTCGAAGAGGGAAATTCACAGCAACACAGGCCTGTCTCACGGCACCAGAAATATGTCAACCAGTCTAACCTTATACCTAAAGAAATTAGAAAAAGAAGAACAGACAAAGTCCAAAGGAAGCAAATAATAAAGATCAGAGCAGAAAGAAATGAATAGAGATGAAAAAGACAATAGCCAAGGGCAGTGAAACTAAGAGCTGGTTCTGTGAAAAGATAAACAAAATTGACAAACCTTTAGCTAGACTAACCAAGAAAAAAAGAGGGCTCAAATAAATAAGAAATGAAAAATAAGTTACAACCAATGCCACAGAAGAAACTAATACGAATAATTACGTACCAACACATTTGACAACCTAGAAGAAATAGGATCCTAGAAATATGCAATCTTCAAAGATTGAAGCATGAAGAAATCGTAACTCTGAATGGAGTGTTTTCTAGTGAGAAGTTTATGCTCACATAAACTGTGTGTACAAAAACCTCTCAGCAAATGAAATTCCAGGACCAGACAATTTCACTGTGAATTCTACCAAATATTCCAATATTTAATACCTATTCTTCTCAAACTTTTCAAAAATATTGAAGAGGAGGGAATGCTTTAAACTCATATTATGAGGCTGCATTACCCTGATACCAAACCCAGACAAGGATACCAAAAAAAAAAAAAAGAAAATTACAGGCCAACATCCTTGATGAACATAAATGCAAAAATCCTCAACAAAATATCAGCAAACTGAATTCAACAGTACATTAAAAGGATCATACAGTATCCAACTGGAATTTATTTCAGGGATGCAAGGATGGTTCGACATCAGCAAATCAATCAGTGTGATACATTTCATTACAAAATGAAATTAAAAAATCAAATGATCACTTCAGCAGATGCAGAAAAAGCATCTGACAAAATTTAATATCCATTTATATCATAGAAGTGCTGTCACCTGAAGAGGCCATCAGAGTATGCATCTGAAAGACATAAGGGAACATGTTAGAAAAATACGTCAGGAAGCTAATTCATGACATTATGTGGTTTTCTGTGTTTTGTGACATTTGTGATATTGATCAACTCAAAAAACTTGTGTTACATGTTGGGATTTCTTGAGAAATCTATTTAGAATCTATTTAATTTTAGATAAATGATTTTGTCTTCTACTGTAAAGAGGGCCCTGCACAGAGAAGAGTCAACACAGCGGGCCTGAGATTGCTCTCCTACAGAAGACTTGCTTGCAAAGTTGGCTCACATTTAGAAACTTAGATTGGGGAGGTTCCTGCCACTCCCGGGTAAGAGTGGCTCATTGAGCATACGCTGTGTGCACAAATAAATATGGCTTATGCTGAACTTCTGCTTTCCTTCAGGGAGCTGGAAATTTGCATACATGCCAAACGGAAGGTGCCTTATGACCAACCCCCCATGAAAGCCCTGGGTATGGAGTCTCCAGTGAGCTTCCCTGGTGGCATTTCCCACATATTGTCACCACTTCTTGCTGGGGGAATGGAGTGTGTCCTGTGCCATTTCTCTGGGAAAAGGACTCTGGAAGTGGTCTGTTTCCTCTAACTTGGCCCCATGCATCTTTTCCCTTTGCTGAGTTTAGTATCCTTCCTCTGTTACAAATCTTAGCCATAAGCACAACAACATGGACTGAATTTTATGAGTCCTCCTAGCAAATCACTGAATCTGGGGGTGGTCTTGGGGACAGACCACAGAGAGCTCCCAAACAGAGCTCCCAAATCTGTATAAGCTTTAGGCCTCCAAAGCCTGGACCCACCCTTGTGTGCCTATGGCTGGAACACAAGGGTCAGCCAACACGGCAGAAGTGGCCCATGACTTAAACTGGAGATGCTTCAAGACAGGAGGTTTTCATTCCTGGTAAGGGGGTGACACTTCCACCGGGAGACATAGTAAAGGTTCCACTGATCTGGAAGGAACAGCCACCACTCAGCCACTAGGGGTTTCCTGGGCCCAGGACCAGCATTACTGTGATAATCCTGAACACCAGGGCCGATGAGGCACAAGAGGGCAGGACACCTGCGGGCCTTGACCTGTGTCAGTGGACAGCTGTTGCAATCTTAACCAGGTAAGAACAGGGACAGCAAGAGCTCAAACTGCTGAAGGAAGAAGGCCCAGCTCACTCCACAGTAACAAGCTGCACAGCTGAAGAGGGGAGGGTGAGCGGTCAAGGGTGGCTGGTGGCAGAGAATGATGGCCGTCACAGCCTTGGACAAGCTGCCGTGGCAGGGCCGTGGCCAGCTCACCAGCCCTGGTGCCCAGTCTTCCAGACCTTGGGGCCTTGGAGATGTCGTGCTTGCAGGACTCAGGCCTAGCCCACCAGTGTCTGCTCCACCTGCTCTCCTGACAACCTGGCCCTGACCCTGTTCCTGCTGAGGGGCAGGATCCACGTTCCCACCCCTTGAGGCTTGGCAGACATCTGTGACCACAATGACCCACTGAGTCTGGCAGAAGTGACACTATGTGACCTCTGAGGCTAGGTCTTAAAACACCACTCAGGCCTGCATTACTGCCCTGAGAGGCCACCTTGGACCCAGGAGCCATGCTTGAAGGCGGCCCAGGCTGCATGGAGGCCGTGTGTAGGTGTGCTGTCTCACAGTACCAGATGAGGTCCCAACCAACAGCCAGAATCCCCTGCCAAAGACAGGAGAGAGGAAGCCTTCATGCTGCTACCCGCCACTGTCCTCGGTGACTGCAGGCAGGAAAGACCCCAAGTGCAAACCACCCAGCTGAGCCTAGGCAACCCCCAAAACTATGAGACTTAATTGCTTGTTATTTGAAATCACTAAGGTCATGCACCAAAAGGTAAAAAAAAATACACATCTCCTACAGAGCCCCTTTCTGGAAAGGGTGAGGGTATCTTTATTCTCAGAAAGGAAGCCCATCTTATTGCACTGTGGCAGCTGGATATGACAGGAGGACATGAGAGGACCTGACAGACGCCATGTGTGGGCCATGCTGGGATACGGGCCGGTGTGCCTTCCTAGGCCTCATGAATGTTGGCTCCTCTCATGAACCGTGGGGTTCAGCTGTCCACCTTCAAATCTGAAGGGTGGGATGGGGTTTCCTAAGCACTGCAGAGGGTCTGAATAATGCAACTGATAGGGGGGAAATGAGCTTCCTGCTGGTGACCTTGACCACTGGGACAAGAGGTACCTGGGAGGGAAGCCCCTCACTTCTCCCTCCTTTAGACCTATCAGCAGTTGCATCATATCGGACTGACATGAGACGCTGGAATATATATACCAGGCCAGGAAATGAGGGGCAGCAGCATGTCAGTCAATACACTCTGCAAGCTGGCCAGGATCATGTTTGAAAAGTGACACTTGCTCTGGGTGGGAAAGGGTGAAAAAGAATCCACATGCTTACAGGCTTCACCCAGAAAGTCCCTACCCTAGGTATCTGCCCACCAAGTATAAGCCCCTGGACACACACCCGCTGTCCACAGTGCAGCTGCGGCTGGGATTACATCCTCGTATGTCCACCCCAAGGGTATCAGGCAGCCAACAAAGCATTAATGAGAGTTCCGCAGGCCTATTTGGACAGATTTCATAAGATAGTTTTTGAGTGAAAAACACTGAAGTGTGTATGAAATGATCTCGTTTAAAAAAATAACCAGCCATTATATAGCTGTACGTATACAACTGCATGCATTTGTGTATGATTTGTACACACAAATCATTACATGACCATGGAGAAAGACATGAAAAAAAACATTCATTAGATTAAGGTTAAATTGCGGGGTGCGAGAGCCCAGCCAACATGGAAAATTAAAACTCCCCCCTCAAAAAAAGTATGGTTACGTATCTGCATACTACTGTAAATATATTTTTAAACGGAAAAATCGCTAAAAGTAAAAGGGAAGAAAACAAGAGAAAGTGCGTATAGTTTGGGAGAAGGAATGCATTCACGACTGCGGAAGGATCAGAAGCCGCCAGAGGCAGGGCGACGCGTGCGCCCCCGGCAGCCGCTGCTCCCGCCTCGGGGGCTCCAGGCGTCAGCGAGAAGCGAAGGCTGCGGGCCCGGCGGCCAGGGCGCAGGCGCAGTGGGGGCGCCCGGGGCTCTGGACCAAGCGCACGCCCCTGGGGCCGTGGGAACCGCCCCCACCACAACCCAAGGGGTGTGCAACCCTGGGATTCTGCTCACAGTGGATTTCCACTCCTGGGAGCCGCGAGACAGCTCCCCAAGATGTCCCCAGACACGGGTTTCCCGCCCTAGGGCGGCGACCTCCAAACTCCCCGGGACCGGAAGTGAGGAAAGTGGTGCCGCCCGGAACTAGGTCTCGGACACCGGAAACGCAGAGCGCAGATGCCGGAAGCCGTAGTGTCCCTCGACCCGCGGCCGAAGTCTGGGAACTGGTTCTCTGTCAGGCGGAAGCGGGGCTGGCGGCCGGGCGGCATGGCGGGGCTGGAGCTCCTGTCCGACCAGGGCTACCGGGTGGACGGGCGTCGTGCCGGGGAGCTGCGCAAGATCCAGGCGCGGATGGGCGTGTTCGCGCAGGCCGACGGCTCGGCGTACATAGAGCAGGGCAACACCAAGGCGCTGGCGGTTGTGTACGGGCCGCACGAGGCGAGTGGGCGTGTGCGGGCGGGCGGGGGCGCCGGCCCGTCTTCAGAGCCTGGTTCACCTGGGCCTGGCGCTGCCCTTCTCTTGGCCGCTGCCCCGTCCTCGAGGCGGTCTCCCGCCCTCTCCGTCGCCTCCCAGCTCTCTACTCCGAGGGCGCCTCCGGGGGGCGCCTCCCCGACTACTTAATCCATGCAGCGGGCCCAGTCACCCGCAGCCACACGCTTACCTGGCTTGGCGCACCCAGCGCCTCAGACGGCAGTTTTATTTGTCATCGTTTATTTATCCACTGGAACATGAACTCCGTGAGGGCAGAGGCGTTAAACAAAACCTGGTTTTGCTGACATGCCTCCAAGCGCCGGGGGAGGTGGGGTTGGGGTTGCGGTTAAAGCCGCAGGGGTAGAAACAAGCGTGGCACGTTTGTAGAGCAGAATGGCCGCCAGTAGTTGGAGTTGGAGGGTGTCCGGAGAGGCAGGAACTCAGGGAAGAAATTTAGGATTTTATCTGACACGTAATGGGAGACCTTTGGGAGGTAAGTAGGAAATGTGAGTGTGTAAGGGAGACACAATCAGACCTGATATTTGTACGTACACTTTGGCTACAAATGGAGAATGGGTTGGGCAGGGATGAGTTAAGGACGGAAACAGGTCTGTTGGAAGAGATGAGCGGTGTGCAGAGGTGATGGTGGTTGAGGGCCTGGCCAGTGCCCCCCCGCCCCCGGGCCGTGTTAGGAGGTAAAGCAGCTGTGCTTGTTGATGTTGGAGTTAGAGGAAGGGCCGGTGTGAGCTGGGAGGGGCGGGCCTGGCTCATTCGGCCTTCCTGCCCCAGATCCGGGGCTCCCGGGCCCGAGCCCTCCCTGACAGGGCCCTGGTGAACTGTCAGTACAGTTCGGCCACCTTCAGCACGGGCGAGCGCAAGCGGCGGCCGCATGGAGACCGAAAGTCCTGCGAGATGGGCCTGCAGCTGCGTCAGACCTTCGAGGCAGCCATCCTTACACAGCTGCACCCACGCTCCCAGATTGATATCTACGTGCAGGTGAGTAGGCAGCAGCTAGAGATGGAAGGTTTAAAGGGAGGATGGGGATCAGGGGTCAGCAGCCTAATGGACTGATGCCAGAGGGGGGGTCCCCACAGGTGCTGCAGGCAGATGGTGGGACCTATGCAGCTTGTGTGAATGCAGCCACACTGGCAGTGCTGGACGCCGGGATACCCATGCAGGATTTTGTGTGTGCCTGCTCAGCTGGCTTTGTGGATGGCACAGCCCTGGCGGACCTCAGCCATGTGGAGGAAGCAGCTGGTGGCCCCCAGCTGGCTCTGGCCCTTCTACCAGCCTCAGGCCAGATTGCACTGCTTGAGATGGACGCCAGGCTGCATGAGGACCACCTGGAGCAGGTGCTAGAGGCTGCTGCACGGGCTGCCCGCGATGTGCACACCCTGCTGGATCGTGTGGTCCGGCAGCATGTACGTGAGGCCTCTGTTTTGCTGGGGGACTGAATATCCAGCTACCCATGCCTAGAATAAAACCCACACACAGTACTCTGTACTTTTACCTCCTCACAGTACTTTAATGTCCTGAGAGACTGTCCCCTACAAATGAATCATATACCTCCTGCAGCCTCAAGATTCAAGCCCTGAAGAAGATGAGAGGAGTATGTCCCTGGGTGGAGGGCAGCTTGTACTAGGAAAGGTTCCAGGTAGTTCAGCAACGAGGAGTGGTCTAGCAGAATAAGTCAAGCCTTCAGGTTATGGAATTACTGTTGCCCCAACATATCCAGGGTGTTGAGCACAAGGGCTGAGGGAGAACTCGCCCGACTGTGGGTGCCCACCACGGAGATGGGGAGGGTCATGTCCCCCATCCTCTGGCTTACGGTTTGAACGGAGTGGCCCTTTTCCCCCTGGGAAGCCGTTGGGCCTGTCTCACTGCTCATCTCAGGCTCCAGAAGTCTGAGACATTCTCGCCCGCAGTCTTCTCAACTCTGACCCTTCCTCTGTCATACCTGCTACGCCACCACTTTACTGGACCTCTCACTTCCTCTGCCTCCTGACCCTCAGCCTCTGCAGCTCTCACCCAGGGGCTGCTTTGCCCCTAATATCACAAACCCTACATTTTATCTCATGTCCCAGCCCATTTTGGCCAGAAGAACCATCTGCACCATCCTCCCTGTGGTCATCCGCCCCCGATGACCTTGGTGCTGTGCTCATGATTACGCTTGGGCACCCGCTTTCCATTTGCGGTGACACGTTACATGGGGGATGGGTGTGCCACGGCTCTGGCCGTTCCGCCTACCCCACGGACGCTCGCGCCTGTCACCGACAGTGGCAGCGTCTTCACAGTCCCCGGGCATCCGTGCTCCGGTTTTCCTCCCACCTGCCCTAGTCTGCTCTGACTCTGCCGCGAGCCTCTGGGCCACAGCCTTTTCACTGTCCCTGGCCACCTTGGGCCGGGCCGGGTTGGGCGGGTCGTCTTCGCTGCTGCTCGCCGTCAGCTGCGGCCCGCTTCCCAAAGCCGCTGCCGGCGAGCGGAGCAGGCTCCGCTCCGGGCATGCGCCACAGGGCGCCGGGGCGGGGGCGGGTGTGGGAAGGGAGCGGGGTGCGCATGCGCGGCAGCGCGAGGGCAGCTGGGGCCGGAAGTGTATGCGTCGGTGCCTGCGGGCTCCGGGACCGACGGGAGCGGTGAAGGCTGGGTCGCTAGCGCGGTCCCGGAGCTGCCTGCCCCGTCATGGGCCTCCTGTCGGACCCGGTGCGGCGGCGCGCACTCGCCCGCCTCGTACTGCGCCTCAACGCGCCGCTCTGGTGAGAACGTGGTCCGGGGAGGCGGGGCAGGGCTCGAGCTGCCTGCGGCCTCCCCGCATTCGCACGGGCCGGGGTCCCAGCACCGTTCCCTCTCCCCGCAGCGTACTAAGCTACGTGGCGGGCATCGCCTGGTTCCTGGCGCTGGCTTTCCCACCGCTTACCCAACGCACTTACATGTCGGAGAACGCCATGGGCTCCACCATGGTGGAGGAGCAGTTTGCTGGCGGAGACCGTGCGCGGGGCTTCGCCCGGGACTTCGCTGCTCACCGCAGGAAGTCGGGGTGAGCCGCAGAGCGGGGGTACGGGCAGAGCAGTGGAGGTCAAAGCTAGGGAGCTCTGCTCAGAGGCTCTCTTTGTCTCCAGGGCTCTGCCAGTCGCCTGGCTGGAGCGGACGATGCGGTCAGTGGGGCTGGAGGTCCACACGCAGAGTTTCTCCCGGAAACTGCCCTTTCCAGATGAGACCCACGAGCGCTATGTATTAGAGCCGGGAGGGGAAGGGGTCCCTGGAACCAAAAGCACCTTGAGGGGAGGGACTTGGGGCCTGGAAGCTTAGCGGTGGCGATGTCCAGGGCTAGGGAAGTCCCCAGTGCGCTTTCTAGGGCTAGAAGGGGAGGGGCTTCCGCCTCCCAGAGTAGGGTCGTGCTGAGGCTTCGCCGCCAATACTGTATGCAGATGGTGTCGGGCACCAACGTGTACGGCATCCTGCGGGCCCCTCGCGCTGCCAGCACTGAGTCCTTGGTACTCACTGTGCCCTGTGGTCCTGACTCTACGAACAGCCAGGCAGTGGGGCTGCTGCTGGCACTTGCTGCCCACTTCCGAGGTGAGGCTCAGAGGCAACTGCTGGCAAGCAAGGGCTTGGTCACTCCCCAGGCAGTGCTGACCGTCCTTCTGGCCTCCAGGGCAGATTTATTGGGCCAAAGACATCATCTTTCTGGTGACAGAACATGACCTTCTTGGCACTGAGGCTTGGCTTGAAGCTTATCATGATGTCAATGTCACTGGTGAGTGCACTGGCCCTGCCCTGGCCCCTCTCTCATGGCCACTCCTCACCAGCCTCACATTGGCAGCTCATTTGCCTGTTCTTACAGGCATGCAGTCATCCCCACTGCAGGGCCGGGCTGGAGCCATCCAGGCGGCTGTAGCCCTGGAGCTGAGCAGTGATGTGGTCACTAGCCTTGATGTGTCTGTGGAGGGGCTCAATGGGCAGCTGCCTAACCTCGACCTGCTCAACCTCTTCCAGACCTTCTGCCAGAAGGGGGGACTGCTGTGCACACTACAGGGCAAGGTAGGGTTGCCTGCGTGGTGGGAGGACATGGGGCCTGTGGGGGAAGGGAGTATCTGACCACATCCCTAAACCTTCTAAGCTGCAGCCCCAGGACTGGACATCGATAGATGGGCCACTGCAGGGTCTGCAGACACTGCTGCTCATGGTTCTGCAGCAGGCCTCTGGCCGCCCCCGCGGCCCCCATGGCCTCTTCCTCCGCTACCGTGTGGAGGCTCTAACCCTACGTGGCATCAATAGTTTCCGCCAGTATAAATATGATCTGACGGCAGTGGGCAAGTAAGTGGCTTCTGCTCTCCCTTTCCCATTCCCTGGGGTGGGGTGCCTGGGGGTCGGGCTGGCTGTGACCCTGCCCCATACCCGGCAGGGCCCTGGAGGGCATGTTCCGCAAACTCAACCACCTTCTAGAGCGGTTGCACCAGTCCTTCTTCTTCTACCTGCTTCCTGCGCTCTCCCGCTTCGTCTCCATCGGCCTCTACATGCCAGCTGCTGGCTTTTTGCTCCTGGTCCTTGGTCTCAAGATATCCTCTACTCCACACTGTGCACTTGGGTTAAGCCTCAGGTCCCTGCCACTCTAAGCTGGGGAGAGCCCTCCATCCTTGCATTGGGGTGTGGGGATGAGCCCGGGTCCCCCACTAGGCAGGGTCTTACCAGGGTCCTTGACTGAGCCACGCTCTGGAACTGTGGATGCAGCTGCATGAAGTTGGAGCAGGCCCTGAGGAGACTCGGGGGGCCTCTGGACCCAGCTCTCCCCCCTCCCTAGCACAGGTAATGGTCCCCCGACTCCTGCTGTTGGGGTGGGCTTCTGGAATCCCACGTGATTACTGCTGCCACTCAGTCTTAACTAGTTGAGGGGATGAGGATCCTTGGGGCTTGCCTGGCCCCAGGACCCATCTCCAGGTGCCCGTGTACCCTGCAGGGCATGGGGCTGGCCTCGCTTGTGGCGCCCTTGCTGATCTCACAGGCTGTGGGCTTGGCCCTCTATGTCCTGCCAGTACTGGGCCAGCATGTAGCTGCCCAGCACTTTCCTGTGGCTGAGGCTGAGGCCGTGGTGCTGACCTTGCTGGCTATCTACGCAGCTGGTTTGGCCCTTCCACACAACACTCACCGGTGAGGAGCTGGGCTGGCTGGGCATAGGCAGGGGACGCTCTGGACATGCAGGTGTCTTACATGCCCCTTGCCTTGTAGGGTGGTGAGTGCACAAGCCCCGGACAGGGCCTGGATGGCCCTGAAGCTGGTGGCTTTGATCTACCTGGCACTGCAGCTGGCCTGCATCACCCTCACCAACTTCTCACTGGGCTTCCTGCTGGCTGCCACCATGGTACCTGCTGCTGTGCTCACCAAGCCCTACGGGCCCCGGTATGTGCCGAACAGCTCCATGAGGTCTGCCTTGACTTGCACCTCTCCCTCTGCCCGTGTCCCCACCTCACAGCCCACTGTGATCTTATTCCTCCATCCAGGCCACTGTACGCTGCACTGCTGGTGCTGACAAGCCCAGCAGCCACACTCCTGGGCAGCCTTTTCCTGTGGCGGGAGCTGCAGGAGGCTCCACTGTCACTGGCTGAGGGCTGGCAACTCTTCCTTGTGGCGCTAGCGCAGGGGGTGCTGGAGCACCATATCTATGGTGCTGTACTCTTTCCGCTGTTGTCTCTGGGTCTCTACCCCTGCTGGCTGCTCTTCTGGAATGTTCTGTTCTGGAGGTGACTGCCTGCTTTGTGGCATGAAAATGGGTGGGCACTCTCTAGGCACCCCATATCCGCTCCTTCTTGGGAAATAAACAGACGTCTTGTTTCAGCTGCCTTTTGGGTTCCTGGCCTGTTGTTCACATGGGGCCTAGGGGGCCGTGGGCAAGCAGCTCTGCCTGCAGGCTTTGGCATTCCCACATGCCTCAAAGCACTGCTGGCAGGAGGGAGGTCCCAGTGGCCGTGGCCTCAGAGGAGAGCCTTGGGTGGACACTGAGCTTAGGATTTGGAAGTGGCATGAGCAGACCCTGCTGAGCCTAAGGTGTGCTCGCCTGGCCCTGGAGGTCTCTGTGCATGTCCAACGCTGTGGGGACATGGGGCCCCGCAGGATATGAGGCACCCAGAGACCTCCATCTCCAGCTGGGGCTGAGGGGGCGACAGGGCTGGAGCTGGACCCCTTCAGAGGAGGCCCCGGTTTGAGCCGGGGTGTGGCCAAGGGGAGCCCCAGCCCAATTTCGTGTGAACTGGAGCAGCCCAGGCCAGGCCTGAACAAGGTGGGAGAGGCTGAATGAGATAACCGTGCAAAATACACATGCCCCGTGGCAGAGATGACAGCCCCATGGGGGAGGCGCTGAGGGCCCGTGCAGAGAGGACCTGCTGAATGGACCGAGGCCCCTGGGGAACAGAAGGACATCCAGTGTCCGTTCTGGAGAGAGAAATGCAGGGTGGCCCTTTGGTGGTGCCAGGGCCACATCAAGCAGAGGCCTACTCTTGCCAGAGGGGGAGGTACCCCTCCCAGCACCCCGGGGCAGCGAGCCAAGTACCGAGGCAGGCTTGAGGCGCCACCTGGCAATCGGAGTGGCAGCTGGGAAGTCCCAAGAAAGAAGCCCCAGCCTCCAAGCCCCTGCCGGCTGTGGCACCTGGGCGTCCCCAGCTCCCCAGGGCCCAGGAGCAGAGGTCAGCTGACGCTCCCCCAGGACCTACACCTGGAGTGGTTTTCTCTGGGGCCTCTCCAGGAAGTCACCGTTGGCCCCCTGTTGAGGGGCATTTGCGTTCTATTCAGCGCTGCTGGGGCGGGGCAGGGCGCCAGAGACCTACTGTGACTAGCAACCTGTCTTTGACCTGTTGTCCCGAGGTCTGGTGGGGACCCCTAGCCCTTTAGCCCTTGGACAGGCTTGTCAGGCTCTTAAAGCTAGGGAGAGACATGCAGCCCCACAAACGCAGGAATGCGTAGCAGGCTGGCTTCCCCTGGGCCTCTCCCCCAAGTCAGGCACCGCTGGCCCATGGGCCTCCTGTCTTCCAGTGTGTGGAGGAGCCTCTGCTGGTGGCCTCTCGTCATCTCTGGGCTGGCATCTGGTACAAAATCCCTTACAGGAATTTTAGCTAGGCTTTGGTCTCCACCAGCGATTTTAACAGGACTTAGTCACTTAAAACACAGCTTGTGAAAATGCACCAAATCATGGAACATACTAGGAGGGGGGAAAAGCTGAAAGAGAATCTCAATTGTTTTCTAAGCTGAGCTGTTGCAGAGTTCGCTCTGTCCACATAAAAGACTCGCTGGGGAAGCGTGGGAGTGACACGGTTGGTTTGTTGGGGAAGCAGGATTTCTGCTCTTTCACTAGTGTCGCTTGTGCAGTACCACTTTTTTAGAAAGAAATTGCCAGGCTGTAAAGATGTTAGATGTAAAAGGAATTGGTATGGGTATAGGGTCCTTAATGCTTTACTTTGAGGGCGTGGCAGTCTCTGCCCATCCCCCAGTATCTGTGTTCCTTAGTTGCAGAGTCCAAACTTTGACACGCACAGGTCTCCCTGAACAAAGACACCCCAGATCCCACGTGGGGGTGTTGGGAGCGAATGATTGCAGCAGCTGATGAGATGTGAGCAGAAGCTTCAAGAGCAAATTCCAAGCAGAGAGCAGCCCTCCCAGCCCAGTCCTGCATGTGGAAAAGGTGGGGTGACGGAACTGAAGCGTGTCTGAGACCCCTCTACCATGCTGAGGGTGGAGGAAGATGGGGTTCTCCCTGACCAAAAGCCATCAGTGTGGCCCCAGGCTGCTAGAATACACTTCATTTTTGAGGAAAAACTTCTACCTGGGTTAAGCCATTATTTGGAGTGTCCTATCTAGTCCCAATACAAGAGGGACTATTGCTGAGCCTGCTCATATGGGACACCAAGGTGGCTGCCAGCTACAGGATTTAGATGTAGGTACCTATATTGTCCTGATAATCAGTAGCAGGTGCTCGTGTGTGTTGCGTGCCCCCCACGGCCATTCCATGGGAGCAAGGAATTTGTCCATCACAGAGCCAGGCACAAGGTAGAGTATTCACCTGTATTTGTTAAAAGAAAAGAAGGAAAGAATCATTCGGAGACCCTCTGGAGGGAGGTTCACAAGGAAGCTCCAGGGGCAGAGCTATCCTCTTTGGAGGGGCCTGGGGGTTTGTTTGTGGCTTGAGATGGGGGTGCATGCCCCAGGAGACGGCAGGAGGACTGGGAGGGCCGAGAGCCATCAGGCTGCCAGCCACCACCTCATGGCACTCAGCAGCCTCCCACAACCAGGGCCTCTGCAGACAGCCTCCACAACAACCTGGTGTCCCAGACTCCCTCTGGTCTCACACCGTTTGCCAGGTCTCCCTGCTCCACCCAAGGCTTCCATGTTGGGAGCTCAAGGGCTGCTCCCTCAGGCCCCAGCTGCCTTCATGCCCGCGCTCAGATCACGTCTCCCGCCCAGGCGCCTCTTCTGAGGTGCCACCTTGTCACCTCCACCTCCTGGGTGTGCCATGGCCGCCTCTGTCGTCCTGCCCCAGCCTGAGCACCTCCTCCTCCGGACCGGGCATGCCATGGCCCCAGGATAAAATCAAACTCCTTACCTTGGTCTCCACTGTCTGTGCAGGCAACACCTCCTTGCTCTTCAGAACACTTTCATTGCCCTGAAAACAAGTCCCGCACCTCACTCCCCGCACCCCTTCCAGCCCCTGGTATCAGTTGTCTATTTTCTTCCACCATAGATTCGCCAAGTCCAGGCTTTGGTTTGAACGGGCTCGCACAGTACGTGGCCTTTTGTGTCTGGCTCTGTTCACTCAGCGTGTTTCCAGGGTTCCTCCATGTTGCACGTGTGTTGGCACCTCCTTTTTGTGGTCAGATAATCCGTTTATTATGTGGACATGCCACGTTTTGTTTATCCATTTATCAGTGTACATTTGTTTCCATTTCTGGCTATTATGGATAATGCCATCAACATTCATGAACAGGTTTTTGTTTGGACATAAGTTTTCATTTCTCTTGGGTATATATTTAGGAATGGAATTGAGTCATATAGTAACTCTGTATTTAACTTTGTGAAAAACTGTCAAACTATTTTCTAAAGCAGCTGTACCATTTTAAATTCCCACCAGCAATTTATGAGAGCTCCAGTTCTTTCACATCCTTATCCACTGTTCATTTTGATTATAGCCATCCTAGTGGAAGTGAAGTGGTTATCTTATTGTGGTTTTGATTTGCATTTCCCTGATGACTGATGACAAGCACCTTTTCAGGTACTTATTGGGCATTTACATTATCTTTTTTGGAGAAATGTCTAACCTATGTCTTTTGGGGTTATTTTTCTTTTTATTGTCAACTTGTCATCATTCTTCTGGATATATATATTCTGGATACTAGACTCTTTTAAGACATATGATTTGCAAATATTTTCCATTGTTTTTTGTTTTTGTTTTTACTTTTTTGGTACTGTCCTTTGATGCACAGAAGTCTTTAATTTTGAGGAAGCCCATTTTATACAACTTTCTTTGGTTGGTGGTGCTTGTGGTCTCATATCTAAGAAACCATTGCCTAATTTAAAGGTATGAAGCTTTATGCCTGTGTTTTCTCTTTTTTTTTTATTGAGATGTTATTGATATACACTCTTATGAAGGTTTCACATGGAAAAACAATGTGGTTACTACATTTACCCATATTATCAACTCTCCACCCCTATCCCTTTGCAGTCACTGTCCATCAGTGTAGTAAGACACCACAGATCCACTATGTCCCTTCTCTGTGCTACACTGTTCTCCCCATGATCCCCCACACCAGGTGTACTAAACATAATACCCCTCAGTCCCCTTCTCCCTCCCTCCCCACCCGCCCTTCCACACCTTCCCCTTTGGTAACCACTGGTTCATTCTTGGAGTCTCTGAGTCTGCTGCCATTTTGTTCCATCAGTTTTGCTTTGTTGTTATGCTCCACAAATGAGGGAAATCATTTGGCACTTGTCTTTCTCCTCCTGGCTTATTTCACTGAGCATAATGTCCTCCAACTCCATCCATGTTGTTGCAAATGGTAGGATTTGTTTTCTTCTTATGGCTGAATAGTATTCCATTGTGTATATGTACCACACCTTCTTTATCCATTCATCTACTGATGGACACTTAGGTTGCTTCCTAATACCTTGGCTATTGTAAAAATTGCTGTGATAAACATAGGGGTGCATATGTCTTTTTAAATCTGAGAAGTTGTATTCTTTCGGTAAATTCCAAGGAATGGGATTCCTGGGTCAAATGGTATTTCTATTTTTAGTTTTTTTGAGGAACCTCCATATTGCTTTCCACAATGGTTGAACTAGCTTACATTCCCCCCAGCAGTGTAGGAGGGTTCCCCTTTCTCTGCATGCTCGTCAGCATTCATTGTTCTTAGTCTTTTACATGCTGGCCATCCTTACTGGTGTGAGGTGATATCTCATTGTGGTTTTAATTTGCATTTCCCTGATGATTAGTGATGTGGAGCATCTTTTCATGTGCCTGTTATCCCTCTAAATTTCTTCTTTGGAGAAGTGTCTGTTCCATATCCTCTGCTCATTTGTTAATTGGGTTATTTGCTTCTTGGGTGTTGGGGGGTGTGAATTCTTTATATATTTTGGATGTTAACCCCTTGTCGGATATGTCATTTACAAATATATTCTCCCATACTGTAGGATGCCTTTTTGTTCTGTTGATGGTGTCCTTTGCCGTACAGAAACTTTTTAGTTTGATGTAGTCCCATGAGTTCATTTTTGCTTTTGTTTCCTTTGCTCGAGGAGATGCGTTCAGGAAGAAATTGCTCATGCTTATATTCAGGAGATGTTGGCCTATGTTGTCTTCTAAG